TGAGAGGGGGTATGGGAGGCTGCGGAGACTCTTTCCCCACAGCTCAAACTACCCTGATCCCTGAGTCCCCGAAATGCCACGCCCATCTCCTGGGCCCCACCCCCCAACAGCATCCCTGTAACCCCAGACCACCTTGATGTCTCGGTGTATCTTCTTCTGTGAGTGCAGATAGGCCAGTCCCTGGGGAGAAGGGTGGACAAGGGGACTGTGAGTGTCTGGGGGCTGGAGTGGGGGCTCCCCTCCTCTCCTCTCCCCAGAATACCCAGGCCTCTCCTTACCTGGAGCACTTCCCGGCAGACATAGCTAATCTGGAGCTCTGACAGGGAGCCTGTCACTGCAAAGGTCACCCCGGCCAGGCCAGGCGTTGGATGGGAGCCAGGGAACCTGGGCTGGGGAGTCCTGCCCCCCCACACCAGCTAAGAGGGTGCCATAGGGAGAGGGGAAACAGGATGGGACCAGTGGGAGGGGGAGATGGTGGGGTAGTCAGCAACAGAAAGAGGCAGCGATGCAAATAAAAGAGGCCAATAGGGCTGGCGCAGCGGCTCATGCCTATAACCCCAGCACTTTGGGAGGCCAAGGCGGGTGGATCACTTGAGGTCAGGAGTCCAGGACCAGCCTGGGCAACATGGCGAAACCCTATCTCTACTAAAAATACAAAAATTAGCCAGGCATAGTGGTGCATGCCTGTAATCCCAAGTACTCAGGAGGCTGAGGCAGGAGAATCGCTTGAACCCAGGAGGTGGAGGTTGCAATGAGCCGAGATCGTACCACTGCACTCCAGCCTGGGCAATAGAAGGAGGCTCTGTCTCAAAAAAAAAAAAAAAAGAAAGAAAAGAAAGAAAGAAAAAGAAAAAGAAAAAATAAAGAAAGAAAGAAAGTAAGCAAGATAAGTAGAATATGATGTAGTTCCTCAGACGCTGAAAGACAATAGGAAGAAACATACAGCAAGAAAGGGGCACGTAGGAGGAGGGGCTATGACATTTCACAGAGGTGGTCAGTCACGGCTGCTCTCTGAAGGTGACAGCAGGTGAAGACGTGAGGGCTCCACTCTGAGTGGGACTAGCCACAGCAAGTGCAGGGTCCCAGGTGGGACAGTTCCTGGTGGGTCTGGAAAGCAGCAAAGGCGGTGGGGTGGAGTGGAGGGGGAGGAGGAAAGTGGGAGGAGGTGAGGTCGGCCAGCCTGGGGTGGACCCTGATGAGGAGTCTGGGCTTCTCCTCCGAGAGAAATGGAAGCTGTAGGAGGGCTCTGAGCAGGGGCGTGATATGACTTTGCAAAATAAGGAAAGGCACAGAGACACAGAGACAGAGAGAGACAGAGAGAGACAGAGAAACGGGGGCAGATCACACATGAGACATACAGAAGGAACAGGATTGAAAAAACCAAAAAAAATGAGACAAAGACAGAGGTCAGAGGCCAAAATGTGGGGAGACAAATTTAGAGAGAGACCCAGAGGATGACAAGGGAAGAACACACAGGCGGAAAGTCAGAGAGACAGAGAGAGGCCGTCAGACATTAGGTCTTACAGACCAGCTGTGGGATTCACTTCCTTTCTGTGGACCTCAGTTTCCCTGAGGACTTCTCAATGAAGTCCTTCCTTTTCTAACATTTGAGGTCTAGGGTTGGAAGGAATCAGAGATTTTCTGCCTTCCAGATTCAAGTGATGCTCCTGCCTCAGCCTCCCAAGTAGCTAGGATTACAGGCATCTGCCACCACGCCTGGCTAATTTTTTGTATTTTCAGTAGCGGCGGGGTTTCACCATGTTGGCCAAGCTGGTCTTGAACTCCTGACCTCAGGTGATCCACCTATCTCAGCCTCTCAAAGTGTGGGGATTACAGGCGTGAGCCACCGCACCAGGCCCAGCAGTTATATTTTTAAAAATAATTAAATTAAATTAAATTAAATTAAATTTTAAAAAGCCAGGCACGGTGGCTCAAGCCTGTAATCTCAGCACTTCAGCAGCTGAAGGCAAGAGGATCAGCTCAGCCCAGGAGTTTGAAATATGGCCCAGAAAGACAGTTCCTGTGAGATACACACACACAGACGGAAGAGGTGAATTCGGGTCGGGGTTGGGGGGTGGGGGTGGGAGGGTTGCCTGGGTCCCCTTGTGCTTTCTCTAACCTTGGTAGATGTCCTGGAGAGAACCAGCCCCACAGAATTCCATGCAGATCCAGAGCTTCTGCAACCTGCAGTGTTTCAAGGGTAAGAATAATAATAGCAGTAATACATTATTATTTGCAGGAAAGTCCCTGGTTTGCTTCTGTCTTGTTCTAGATCAGTAAAAACTTTAATGTAACAGCTCTCATCACTCCATCTCTCCTTGTCTACCAGAGTGAGGTGGTTTCATTCCCGTTTCACAGACAAGGAAGTTAAGGCTCAGAGAGGAAATGTGAGTTCCGGGGCAAGTCAACTCAAACCTAGACCTTTGGGCGGGACCCCTCTGCCGTCCCACGCCAACCTAGGAGGTAGGGCAGAGATCTCACGGGTTGTGGAGATTTGGAGGGGACAGAGGGGCCCAGGGCATCTGTTCCGGGGAGCAGAGGTCAGTATTGGGACATCTGGAATATTAATTTGGGGATCAGGGAATTTAGAAGTTTATATTAAAGGAACAGAGAGTGGAACTGGGGGAGCCAGAGGGCAGAATGATGAGAGCTTCGTTTCTAGGGAGTTGATTTCCAATTCCGTTACTATGAAGGGATCAGTTTGGGGTACTCTTGATCAGAAATGGGAATTCTGGATTGGAGATTAGATTAGAGGCTGCTCTGGTCAGAAAAGTGGGACTTAGGAGTGAGGATCAGGGTAGGGTTAGCCCAGTCAAAAATGGGGGCCCAGGATGGGAGGCCGGGTTATGGTGAGAAATGGAAGTTCAAGGTTAGAACTCAGGGTGCCAAGGCCAGGCACGGTGGCTCACACCTGTAATCCCAGCACTTTGGGAGGCCAAGGCCAATGGATCACGAGGTCAGGAGTTCAAGACCAGCCTGGCCAAGATGGTGAAACCCCATCTCTACTAAAAATATAAAAATTAGCCGAGTGGGGTGGTGGACGCCTGTAATTCCAGCTACTCGGGGGTCTGAGGCAGAGAACTGCTTGAACACGGGAGGCAGAGGTTGCAGTGAGCCGAGATCATGCCACTGCGCTCCAGTCTGGCAACAGAACAAGACTCCATCTCAAAAAAAAAAGGAAAAAAATGAAAAAAAAAAAAAAAAGAAATGAGGGTACCCCCATCAAGAAATGGAGGCTCTGGGTTAGGGGCTGGGCTGGGTGCCAGGGTGGGTCTGAGGTTCATCACCAGAGATAACTCCCATGGTAGGCCACGATGTTGGCGTGCCGGCAAGTTTTCAATATGAGGATTTCCTTCTGAAGGGTGGAGACATCATCATCTGTGAGGAGGGTGGGAGAGAAAGGCAGCTCGCATGGAGAGAGCTACGAGGGAGGTGATCCCAGTGTCCCAGGAGGCGAAGGTGGGGATGTGGGGAAGGAGCTCCGGGTTCCCTCCTCACCAGGCTCCATCTTCACCATCTTCAGTGCCACCAGGTCCCCTGTCGCCTTGTCTCGAGCCTTGCAAAGGGGAAGTCGGCAGTCAGGCAGGCTCCATTTGCCAGCGTCCCTCCTCAGCATCCCTGAGTCAAGGTCAAGGACTGGGACCCCCTCTTGCAGCCTCCTCCCTACCGACGCCTTGCCTTAAAGGCCACTAGTTTGAGGGTGTTGGGGACAGAGGGGCTTTCTCACCTTAAAGACTTCCCCATATGTGCCGCCACCCAGTCGCTGCAGCAGGTCGTAGTGGTCCCGGGGGTCTCTATTGAAAATGTCCGGATCCACGAGGTCCATCCCTGGGGGCCGGAGCTGGGCCTGCGCCCAGGGGCCAGCAGGGCCTCAGGGCTCAAGTTCTGGCACCTCCCTCTGTCCCCAGAAGCCCTGCACCCGCCTTGCCTCCGCGGGCTGTGGCCTCCCTCCTCCCCACTCTCGCTTCCTGCCCCAGCTGCACTGCAGGGCTGTGCAAAGGGCTCCACCCCCTGTCCCCTGGGCGCTGAGAGCCTCTGAGGGGCAGCTTGTCTTGGGACCCAAGGGACCATCCTCAACCTCCAAGGCCCAGGGCTGGATGTAAATGTGATGCAAATGATCTTAATGGTAACTGGATTGGAGGGGGGTGCCTTAGAACCCCCGCCCCCGTCTCCTAGGTAGTGTCTAAACCTCTACTGGGTGCTTGAAGGTTTGGCCACAACCCGAAGGCGGCAAGTCTGCACAAGGATGACTACGCAGTGTACATGCCTGTTCACCTGTCACATACATGCACTTGGGTTACCTCCTGTGCACTGCGCGGGCATGTAGACGTGTAGATGTGCATCTACCTAGATACCTGTGTGCACAGTACACACGTGGAGGTACCCAGCGCATATACCTCCACATACATGGCACATAACTGCATTTTCTACGCTTGCAGTGTACAAAACCTATACATGATATATAATTGATGGCAGTACAGATAGGACCCTCGCCCTCAGCTCCAAGACCGGAACCTAATGGAGACCGGGCGCGATCCGGCGAAGTCCAGGAGCCCTCACCCCAGCCCCTGCCCGGCAGAGCACAATAGCTTTGTGGGACCCTCTTCCTGGAGCTGGGGACCAAGGGCCGAGACTTGAAACTGGATCCTGGGCGCTCAGGATCCTGCACCATGCGCCCAGGCCTGAGGCGAGAGGGACCTCAGAGAACATCTCCCTCGGGACTTGGCCAATGCCTAAACGGAGGGCTGCTGCGTGCATTCCCGCACAGCTCCGGGGACTTATGGCCGCGCGCAATACAACGCGCGCGCACGCCGCCAGAGCTCCGACTGCTTCCCAATGAGTTCGCGCGCGCACGCTCCCGCGCCCCCGGCACTGGAACTGGGTCTGTGAGGCCCGGGAAAAGCTTAGCCCCGCCCCTCGCCGAGAGGCGCCTGCGCACTGGGATACAGTAAGCTTTTTCTCACGCTGTCCGTCCAGCTTGAGTGGAGCGAATGCGCACGCGCTAATTGCCCCTGCGAGGAAGAAGTCACGTGGCAGCCGGAAAGCGTGGCGGCTGCTGCGAGAGCCTGTCCCTTCACCGCCCCCAGGGAGCTGGAGCGACAACAATGACGTCGTTTCCGTTTCCACCACCTCTTCCTTTTCCCGTCCTCGCGGACGCCGTGCCGGGCCGGTATTAGTCTCCAGCCCTGGTTGTGGAAAGCGACAGAAGTCATGGCGATGTTTGAACAGATGAGAGCTAACGTGGGCAAGTTGCTCAAGGGTATCGACAGGTCTGAGCCCGGTCGGAGGGAGCGCTCTGGCCATGCGGGGCGGAGGGGAGGGTTTTCAGGAGGCAGCAGGGGGTGGTCAGGGTCCTGGGCTTGCCGCGGGGTGGGGTTTCTCTATCCTCCTGGAGGAGGAGATGCTTAAAGAAACGCCACTGAGCTGGGGGCGGTGACTCACGCCTGTGATCTCAGCACTTTGGGAGGCCGAGGCAGGCGGGTCGCCTGAGCCCAGGAGTTAGAGACCAGCCTGGGCAACAGTCATACCCCGTCTTTAAAAGAAAGAAAGAAACAGCCCTGCAAAGGCCTAGAAGCGAAAGAATCTTGGTACCGCTCAGTCTCTTCGTGAATTGCCTTAAGGTTTCCTTCTCTGCCCTGCCTCCTTTGAGTGCCTCTGAATCTCTCCCTTCTCTGCTCCTTACGTCATTCATTCACATGTTTATTGAAATAAAGTGTCAGTGCTAGGCAATGCTGGGAACCACAGGCGAATCAGACAGCGGCAGATCATGCCTTCACGGTCTGAGTTCCCATTCCATGAGGGAGACAAACCTGACATCAGACAGTGATATCTGGGAGAGGTTAGAACCGAAATGGGGGAAGCAAAGGCTAGAGTGTTCAGACGGACATGGGGGAAGTAGGCATCCAGGTAGGCAGGAGAGGATGGGGCTGGATCAGGGTGGAGGCCTGAGCAGGGGAGGAAGGGGTGAGTAACAGAGATGTTCAGGAGGCCAGATGCACAAGCTGCAGTGACTGACTGGCTCAGAGGTTGGGGAGGTATCCTAGGCAAGACCCAGGGCTCCAATGGAGTATAGAGCTTAGGTGAGAGGTCTGGGATATGAATAAGTTTTATTAGAGATTATACTGGACATAATTCACTACCTGGATAGAGCAAGTGGCCAGTGCCAGATTTAGAGGGGAAGGGTGGGAGGAGCAGGTTACAGTTGCCCCTGCAACTGTAAAGTGACTGGCCTCAGCTTCTGTCTCCTGTCTGCTCACCTATCTTGATTCTCCTTTAGGTACAATCCTGAGAACCTGGCCACCCTGGAGCGCTATGTGGAGACGCAGGCCAAGGAAAATGCCTATGATCTGGAAGCCAACCTGGCTGTCCTGAAGCTGTAAGTGTCTGGCTGTCTGTCTACACTCCCATTTCAGCAGCTAGCAGGGTGCCACTCCCAGTACAGGGCAAGGGGGTGGCTGGTGGTATCCTGCATGATGCAGCATCTCTTGGTGTGCAAGACTAGGAAGCCAAGGAAGTTGGGACAGGAGGAGGGATGGTTTTTGAAAAATCAATTGCCAAGCGCAGTCACTCACACCTGTAATCCCAGCACTTTGGGAGGATGAGGTGAGTGGATCACCTGAGGCAGGGAGTTTGAGACCAGCCTGGCCAACATAGAGAAACCCCAACTCTGCTGAAAAATACAAAATTAGCCGGGCGTGGTGGCACATGCGTGTAATCCCAGCTACTTGGGGGGCTGAGGCAGGAGAATCGCTTGAACCTGGGATGCAGAGATTGCGGTGAGCTAAGGTCGCACCATTGCACTCCAGCCTGGGCAACAAGAGCAAAACTCCATCTCAAAAAAAAATTAATAATAAAAAATCAATTAGGGTGGCTGCAGGGGCTCATGCCGCTAATCCCAGCACTTTGGGAGGCTGAGGCGAGATACTCACTTGAACCAAAGAGTTCGAGACCAGCCATGGCAACATAGCAAGACCCAACTCTATAAAAAAATTTAAAAATTGGACAGGCATGGTGGCTTACACCTGTACTTTGGGAGGCTGAGGTAAATGAATCACGAGGCCAGGAGATCAAGACCATCCTGGCTAACACGGTGAAACCCCATCTCTATGAAAAAAAAAATACAAAAGATTAGCCGGGCATGGTGGCGGGGCGCCTGTAGTCCCAGCTACTTGGGATGCTGAGGCGGGAGAATGGCATGAACCCAGAAGGGTTGCAGTGAGCCTAGATCACACCCCTGCATTCCAGCCTGAGCTACACAGCAAGACTCCGTCTCAAAAAAAAACCATTGTTTTAGTTAATGTAGTGGTGTGTGGCTGTAGTTCCAGCTACTTGAGAGGCTGAAGTGGGAGGATTGCTTAAGCCTGGGGGATCGAGGGTGCAGTGAGCCATGATTGTGCCACTGCACTCCAGCCTGGGGGACAGAGTGAGACCCTTCGTTTTCTCAAAAAAAAAAATAAAATAAATAAGAATTACCGATCTGGGTGACATGGCACAGCCCTGTCTCTACAAAAAATCAGCTGGGCACAGTGGCACACAGCTGTAGTCCCAGCTACTCGGGAGGTTGAGGCAGGAGAATTGCTTGAACCTGGGAGGCAGAGGTTGCAGTGAGCCAAGGTCATGCCACTGTACTCCAGCCTGGGCAACAGAGTGAGACCCTGTCTCAAAAATAAAGAATAATTACAGAACACATGTACAGGCAAATACATTAAGCAAACATGTAGTTTAACAAATCATTATAAATGAAAGCCTACATAATTGCCATTTATGTTGCAAAAGTGTTGCTAGCGCGACAGGCCTTTTGCCCCATATGCTCTGTGCCAGCCAACTCCCCTGCTCCCCGGTATTCTCATGGCCTGGCTTTATGTGATGGTTTACCATACATGCATCCATCTGAATCAGCTCAGCTCAGGTTTCCCTGCTTTGAACTTGATATAGATGGAGTAGATACAGCACAAACTCTTCTGCATCTGCCATTTGCTACTCATCACTGGGTTTGTGAGATCCATCCAGTTTTGTGTGTTTGTTTGTTTGTTTGATGTGGCTCCAGTTTGTTTTCATGGATGTATACCTCTTCAGTGTGTCACTTGTGTGACTGTCCTAATGATCTCTTCTGGCTCTTGATGGACGTGTGGGTTCTTCCTACCTCCACTTTTTTTTTTTTTTTTTTTTTTTTTTTTGAGACAGGATCTTCTGTTGCCCAGGCTGTAGTTCAGTGGCACAGTCATGGCTCACTGCAGCCTCAGCCTTCTGGACTCAAGCGATCCTCCCGCCTCAGCCTCCTGAATAGCTGGGACTACAGGCACCACCATGCCCAGTTAATTTTACTTGGGTGCTTTCTTGCTTGCTTTCTTTTTTTCCTTTTTCTTTTCTTTTCTTTTTTGAGACAGAGTCTCACCTTGTTGCCCAGGCTGGAGTGCCTTGATGTGATCTCATGATCTCAGCTCACTGCATCCTTTGTCTCCCAGGTTCATGCAATCCTCCTGCCTCAGCCTCCTAAGTAGCTGTGACTAGAGGTATGCGCCACTATGCCCAGCTAATTTTTGTATTTTTAGTAGAGACAGGGCTTTGTCATGTTGGCCAGGCTAGTCTTGAACTCCTGACCTCAGGTGATCCGCTCATCTCGGCCTCCCAAAGTACTGGGATTACAGGCTTGAGCCACCCACCCCCACCCCCCACCTTCTGTTGTCCTCTTTTGCAAGGGAGGAAACTGACAGCCCCTCAGTTTCCTTTCTCTGCTCTTTAGCTTTTCAGTGCCTCTTAATCTCTCTCTTGTCTGCTCCTCATGTCATAAATAAGCAGTCCAGGGTCACTCAGCGGGAAGTTTAAACCAAGGCAGTCTGGCTCTGGTTCCTTAGCCACTACTCCAGACTGCTGCTGCTGTTCTCATTTGTTTGTGAATCACTTAGCAGTGTCTGCCCCACTGGGTGGTTGTGAGCATTAACTGTCTCTGTTCACAGAGGAGGAAAGTAGGCTCAGGGAGGTGAAGGTTATACAGCCGGGAAGCATTGGGATTGGGATTGGAACCCAGGCGTGTCCAATTCCCAAACTCCAGAATAAAGCAGTGGACAGCCTGCCTGGCACCTGGAGAGGGTTGGGGACTTGGAGGTGCCACATGTGGCCATGTCTCTTGTTCTCTTTCTTAGGTACCAGTTCAACCCAGCCTTCTTTCAGACCACGGTCACCGCCCAGATCCTGCTGAAGGCCCTCACCAACCTGCCGCACACAGATTTCACCCTATGCAAGTGCATGATCGACCAGGCACATGTATCCTTCCAGCACTGGGGCCAGGGCCTGTGTGGGAAGGGGCCAGAGTCAAAGTGCATGAATTCCGGGGGAGATGGTCTGTGGGTGCATCCACAAACACCAAGTGCCTGCTCTGGCCCAGCATGGCAGGGTGCTGGACCGTGCTGGGACACTGTGTGACTGAGACAGGCCTGGGCCCTGTCTTCACGAAGTTGTCACAGTCCAGTGAGGAGGCAGACAGTGATAGACTGGAGTGGTCAGGGTTGGGTTAGAAGAGCCACAGCAGCCGGACACAGTGACTCACACCTCTAATCCCAGCACTTTGAGAGATTACGGTGGGTGGATCACCTGAGGTCAGGAGTTCGAGACCAGCCTGGCCAATATGGCGAAACCCCATTTCTACTAAAAATACAAAAACTTAGCCGGGCACGGTGGCACACACCTATAGTCCCAGCTACTTGGGAGACTGAGGTAGGAGGATCACTTGAACCCGGGAGGTGGAGGTTGCAGTGAGCCAAGATCGTGCTGCTGCACTCCACCCTGGGTGACACAGTGTCTCACAAAAAAAAAAAAAAAGAGCTATAGCAGGCACCTGACCATTTGGGTGGGGGAATATGTGGACATGAACACAGCCATCTGTATTTACATTTCTATAGAACAATGTCTGGAAAGGTGGAAAAGTACCCAAGAATTTGCAAATGACTGTTAATCTCCTAGGAAGGATGGCTGTGAGACGAGGGAAGACCTATTTTGCCACTGTTCACTCTTTTGTATTTTTAACTAGAAAATGTTTAAACCAGGGCCTCCTGGAGGAGGGAACATCTAAAACATAAGGAGGTAGGTGAAGGGGTAGGCAAAGGTGATCCAGGCAGAGAGGACACTCATGGGCTAAAGGAAGCAAAGCTCGGTGCTGTCTTTCAGAAATAGTAGAGGAAGCTTGACATAGGAATGATTTTAGGTGGTTTTTTGTGTGTGTTTGTTTGTTTGAGACGGAACCTTGCTCTGTCACCCAGGCTGGAGGGCAGTGGCATGATCTCGGCTTACTGCAACTTCCACCTCCCAGGTTCAAGCTATTCTCCTGCCTCAGCCTCCCGAGCAGCTGGGAAGACAGGTGCATGCCACCATGCCCGGATAATTTTTGTATTTTTAGTAGAGACGGGTTTTGCTATGTTGGCCAGGCTGCTCTCAAACTCCTGACCTCAGGTGATCTGCCCGCCTCAACCTCCCAAAGTGCTGGGATTACAGGTGTAAGCCACCGTGCCCAGCCTTTAGGTTTTATTTTATTAGTAGTAATAGTAGATTTTTTTGTTGTTAATATTTTCTTTTTTTTTTTTTTTTTTTATTTTCCGAGACGGAGTCTCGCTCTATCACCCAGGCAGGAGTGCAGTGGCTGGATCTCAGCTCACTGCAAGCTCCACCTCCCAGGTTTACGCCATTCTCCTGCCTCAGCCTCCTGAGTAGCTGGGACTACAGGTGCCCGCCACCTCGCCCGGCTGGTTTTTTCTATTTTTTAGTAGAGAAAGGGTTTCACCGTGTTCGCCAGGATGGTCTCGATCTCCTGACCTCGTGATCCGCCCATCTTGGCCTCCCAAAGTGCTGGGATTACAGGCTTTAGCCACTGCACCCGGCCAGTTAATATTTTCTTTCTTTCTTTTTTTTTTTTTCTGAGACAGAGTCTCGCTCTGTCACCCAGGCTGGAGTGCAGTGTCACAATCTCGGCTCACTGCAGCCTCCTCCTCCCAGGTTCAAGTGATTCTCCTGCCTCAGCCCCCCAAGTAGCTGGGACTACAGGCACGTGCCACCACACTCGGCTGATTTTTTGTATGCTTAGTAGAGATGGGGTTTCACCATGTTGGCCAGGCTGGTCTCGAACTCCTGACCTCAGGTGATCCACCTGCCTTGGCCTCCCAAAGTGCCAGGATTACAGGTGTGAACCACCAGGACTGGCACGTCATTTCTTTCCTTTTGCCATTACAAACAGTCCTGCAGCCAACATCCTTTCTCCTGCATACACCTGCGGGAGAAATAAGCTGGCTTCCTTTTCCAGCTCTTTTTCTGAGCTGAACCTTTGGAAGAAAGCAGCCAGAAGAAGGTAGGTGGGGAGGGGTGACCTGTGGCCCAACCTTAGCTCCAAAGCCAGTTTTCCTTAATGCTTCCTCCTACCAGCAAGAAGAAAGGCCAATCCGACAGATTTTGTACCTTGGGGACCTGCTGGAGACCTGCCACTTCCAGGCCTTCTGGGTAACTTCCGTGGGGTCCAGGGACAGGGGAGATGGCAGTGCCATGTGGAGCTGAATGCTAAAAGTAACAATGGTGCACAGAGCCTGGCTTCCTGCTTTGGCAGTGGGCCCAGTGCTCCACATGTGTGTTTTTGAGGAATCATCATCCTCTCATGGGGCAGGTACTCACAGGTCCTCCCCTTGCCCACAGGCTGAGGCCGACCCTTTCCCCTCTCTCCCGTCTTTCCACTGGGCCCTCTACTACATACCGTTAATCAGAAGAAGTCCTCCAATGGCTGGGTGTAGTGACTCACCCCTGTGATTCCAGTATTTTGTGGAGACCGAGGTAGGAGGATTGCTTGAGGCCAGGAGTTCCAGACCAGCCTGAGCAACATAGTGAGACCTCATCTTTACAAAATTGAAAATTAATTGGGTGTGGTGGCAGGTGCTTGTACTGCCAGCCACCCAGGAGGCTAAGGTGGGAGGATCGCTTGAGCCTGCAAGTGAGCCATGATCATACCACTGTACCCCAGCCTGGGCAACAGAGCAGGACCGTGTCTCAAGAAAGATAAATTCTCCGTTTCTTTCCATTTCTTCTGCCTGTCTGACACACTCTGCCCTTCTTGCTCTAACTGGAACCTGGCCCCCCACTTCTGCAGCCTCCTGAGTGGGAGGCTAGTTCACCTCCTGGTTCCTATCTCTTCTGATACCCTCAGTCTTTTTTGTTGTTTTTTGTTTGTTTGTTTGTTTTTTGAGATGGAGTCTCACGTTGTTGCCTAGGCTGGAGTACAGTGGCACGATCTTGGCTCACTGCAACCTCTGCCTCCTGGGTTCAAGTGATTCTCCTGCCTCCTGAGTAGCTGGCACTACAGGCACGCGCCATCACGCCCAGCTAATTTTTATATGTATTTTTTATTTTATTTTATTTTTTTGAGACAGAATCTCACTCTGTTGCCCAGGCTGGAGTGCAGTGCAGCAATCTCGGCTCACTGCAACCGCCACCCCCGCCCCGAGTTCAACCGATTCTCTTGCCTCAGCCTCCCAAGTGGCTGCGGTTACAGGCACACGCCATCACACTGGCTAATTTTTGTATTTTTAGTAGAGACGGGGTTTTGCCATGTTGTCCAGGCTGCCCTTGAACTCCCGGCCTCAGGTGATCTGCCTGCCTCAGCCTCCCAAAGTGCTGGGATTACAGGCGTGAACCACCGCGCCAGGCCAGAAACCCCCAGTCTTGAAGTGCGTGTGTCATCACTTCCTGCCCAGTATCAGTCCCTCTGGTGACGGCTCTTTGTTTCTTGAAGAATTCGGCTCCTGGCCGGGCACGGTGGCTCACACCTGTAATCCCAGCACTTTGAGAAGCTGAGGCAGGTGGATCACTTGAGGTCGGGAGTTCGAGACCAGCCTGACCAACATGGAGAAACACTGCCTCAACTAAAAATACAAAATTAGCCTGGTGAGGTGGTGCATGCCTGTAATCCTAGCTCCTTGGGAGGCTGAGGCAAGATAATCGCTTGAACCCAGGAGGCAGAGGTTGCGGTGAGCTGAGATCACGCCATTGCACTCCAGCCTGGGCAAGACTCCCTCTAAAAAAAAAAAAAAAAACAACCCAGAATTCAGCTCCTTCTCACTGGCCTTGTCTACCACTCTTGCCCTAATTATTAGATGCTTAGAAAGTAACACAGAGGATCCTTTGACCACCCAGACCTCTGGGTCCCTTGCTGTCTTGGCCAGCTATCTTGTACTGCATTTGACCTCAGTCCTTCTCTTCCAATCATACCCTGGGCCAGTTCTCTGCACATTGGACCTCTGAGGCAATTATTTTCTTTCTTTTTTTTTTTTTTTTGGTTTTGTTTGAGACAGTGTCTCGCTGTGTGAGCAGGCTGAAGTGCAGTGGCGCAATCTCAACTCACTGCAACCTCCGCCTCCTGGGTTCAAGCGATTTTCCTGTCTCAGCCTCCCAGGTAGCTGGGACTACAGGCATGGGCCACCACGCCTGGCTAATTTTTGTATTTTTAGTAGAGATGGGGTTTCACCATGGTGGCTAGGCTGGTCTCAAACTCCTGACCTCAAGTGATCTGCCTGCCTCAGCCTCCCAAAGTGCTAGGACTACAGGTGTCAGCCACCGCGCCCAGCCCTCTGAGGCATTTTTAAAAATTGATACTGATACATGGGTCCTGCCCTCACAGAGTCTGATGTAATTGGTTCAGTGTAGCCTAGGCCTTGGGATTTTAAAAAGTTACCCTGGGTGATTTGGACATCTGGCCAATGTTGGGAGCCACTGCCCTCACCAATAATGGCTCCCCTCCTCCCCCTGTGAGTTTCCAGTGTCTCCATTCTCGCCACTTCCTCCCAGCTTCTCAGCTCACCCCCACAGGTTCTCCATCCCCACATTCTTGGGCCTGACCATTAGCTCCAACCCTCTGTCTCTGCATTCTTCTCTGTTTCGCTTCCTTCTCTTAAATTGCATGTGCTGGCCGGGCGTGGTGGCTCACGCCTGTAATCCCAGCACTTTGGGAGGCCGGGGTGACCGGATTGCTTGAGGTCAGGAGCTCAAGACCAGCCTGACCAACATGGAGAAACCCCATCTCTACTAAGAATACAAAGTTGGCCAGGCGTGGTGGCACATACCTGTAATCCCAGCTACTCGAGAGGCTGAGGCAGGAGAATTGCTTGAATTTGGGAGGCGGAGGTTGCGGTAAGCTGAGATCATGCCATTGTCCTCCAGTCTGAGCAACAAGAGCAAAACTCCATCTCAAAACAAACAAACAAACAAACAAACAAAAAAAACACACGTGCTTCCCCTGTCCCCAGCTGCAGCAGTGGTCTTGCTTCCTTCCCCAACTCCTGGATGTTTGCTCATGCTTTATCTGTCTCCCTTTCTTCTCACCTCAACTTATGATCTGGCTTCTTGTCTCAGGAGAAAATAGAAGCAGCCACTGCAGAAATTGCACCTGCTCCCATCCCAGACCCTGACATTTTATGTGCGGCTGACTGCATACTTTTTTGTTTTTAATTCTTAAACATTTTATTTTTTATTCAAGTAAGAAATTATTGATTAGCTTCAGTTAATCCCACAAAGAAAATGATCAAATGCTTAAAATAATAGAATTTACTAGTTCTACAAACGACTGTTCTCACTAGCAAACTAGCAAATGAGATGTGTTGGAGATCGTAGACCTATTCCATGTAACAGACAGGGTTTTTTTTGTTTTGTTTTGTTTTGTTTTTCGAGACAGGGTCTCACTCTGTCGCCCAGGCCGCGGTGCGGTGATGCAAACACAGCTCACTGCAGCTTCGACCTCCCAGGCTCCAGTGATCAAGTGATCCTCCCACTTCAGCCTCCTGAGTAGCTGGGACTATAGGCCCAGTTTTTGTATTTTTAGTAGAAGTGGGGTTTCGCCATGTTGACCAGGCTGTCTTGAACTTCTGGCCTCAAGTGATCCTCCTGCTTCAGCCTCCCAAAGTGCTGGGATTACAGGTTGAGCCATGACGCCCGGCCACAAATCTGGATTTCTGCCCACCTCACTGGCTGCACCTTCCTGGCATCCACGTGGGGGATTCCCTCCCTTCTGTTGGAGGGAACATGTACCACAGAGCTGACCTTTGAGCAGAAACCTGAAGGAGGTGAGGGTGGTAGCCATGGCCATGGAGGCGGAGAATTCCACACACAGGCCCTGAGATGGGCAGGTGCCTGGTGGGTTTGGGGAGCATCAGGGAAGCCCCTGTGGCTGGAGCAGGGTGAGTGAGGAGCGAGTGGGCAGGGGTGAGGGCACAGAGGTGACAGGCAGATTCTGTGTGGCCTCATGGGCTATGGTAGGAAAATTGGCCTTTTCTCTGAGTGGGACAGAAGCAAGGGGAGGTGGCTGCATACGCTTAGCCAATACGTGTCTGTCCTCTTTCTCAGGGCCCTGGTTTCTGCCTGCCAGGTTCAAGCCTCACCTCTAGGATTTTGGGTAAATCACTTAGCGGCCCGGTCTCTTCATCTGTAAAATGGATGTAACTTACATCACAGGGCTGCACTCAGATGAATGGCTAGCATGTGGGATCAGTGCTCAAATGGTAGCTGCTTTTTTTTTTTTTTTTTTCCCTGAGATGGAGTATGGCTGTGTTGCCCAGGCTAGAGTGCAGTGATATGATCTTGGTTCACTGCAACCTCTGCCTCCCAGGTTCAAGTGATTCTCCTGTCTCATCCTCCCTAGTGGCTGGGATTACAGATTACAGGCACCCACCACTACACCCGGCTTATTTATTTATATTTATATATATATATGTTTTTTTGAGACGGAGTCTCGCTCTGTCTCCCAGGCTGGAGTTCATGGCACAGTCTCAGCTCACTGCAACCTCTGCCTGTTCAAGTGATTCTCCTGCCTCAGCCTCCCGAGTAGCTGGGTCTGCAGCTAATTTTTTGTATTTTTAGTAGAGACGGGGTTTCACCATGTTAGCTGGGATGGTCTCAGTCTCCTGACCTCATGATCGCCCGTCTCAGCCTCCCAAAGTGCTGGGATTACAAGTGTGAGCCACCGCGCCCAGCCTAATTTCTGGGTTTTTGTTTGTTTGTTTGTTTATTTGTTTGTTTTTGAGAGGGAGTCTCCCTCTGTCGCCCAGGCTGGAATGCAGTGGTGTGATCTCAACTCACCACAACCTCCACCTCCTGGGTTCAAGCAGATTCTCCTGCCTCAGCCTCCCGAGTAGTTGGGATTACAGAAATGTGCCACCAAGCCCTGCTAATTTTGTAATTTTAGTAGAGTCAGGGTTTCTCCATGTTGGTCAGGCTGGTCTCAAACTCCTGACCTCAGGTGATCCGCCCACCTCAGCCTCCCAAAGTGCTGGGACTACAGGCATAAACCACTGCATCTGGCTAATTTCTATATTTTTAGTAGAGGCGGGGTTTCACCATGTTGGCCAGGCTGTCCTTGAACTCCTGACCTCAAGTGATCCACCCACTTCAGCTTCCCAGAGTGCTGGGATTATAGGCGTGAGCCACCACACATGGCCTGGTAGCTGCTATTCTTGTTAAAATTACTGATATGAACGTTGTTGATACGTAAGATTACCAGTGTAGGCTGGGAGTGGTGGCTCACGCCTGTAATCCCAACGCTTTGGGAGACCAACGTGGGCAGATCACTTGAGCCCAGGAGTTTGAGAGATCAGCCTGGGCAATATAGTGACACCTTGTCTCTGTAACAACCGCAGCAACAAAATCCCAGCACTTTGGGAGGCTGAGGCAGGAAGATCACTTGAGCCCAGAAATTCAAGACCAGCCTGGGCAACATAGTGAGACCCCAACCCTATAAATAAATAAAAATAAAGGCAAATAATTTAAAAGAATAAACATTGTGAACATCAATTCCCATCACAGCAAGCCCTGGATGAAAACATGGACCTCTTGGAAGGTATAACTGGCTTTGAAGACTCTGTCCGAAAGTGTAAGTCCCTCTCTGAGGCTGGGCTCCCCAAGGGGAAGGGGTAGGGAGTGGCAGCCAGGTCCGGGGGAACAGCTCCTTACCAGTTTTGTTTCTGACCTCCACAGTTATCTGCCATGTTGTGGGTATCACTTACCAGCACATCGACCGCTGGCTGCTGGCCGAGATGCTCGGGGATCTGTCGGGTAATGCCTTCTGGGTCCTGGTGCACATCTGGGAGGTTGGGGGTGGCCAGGGCAGTGGACCTCAGTCAGCTCCTCCAACGGGCCTGTGCAGGTCTCATCAGGTCAGCATGGAAGGCCCAACCCAGGGAGGAAATAAGAACCTGGTATAAGACAGTCCCTACCTTGAGGGAGATCCTATACCATTTGCTCATTTCTTCTGCATTAATTGAGTGCCTACCGTGTATCAGGCAGTGTGCTAAACTGGGCATGCAGCAGTAAACAAAGTGGGATGGCTCCAATTCATTCTCATGGAGGCAGCAAAGCACGTGGCAACGTGTAGGTGTCCAGTGGCAATTCATGTCGTGAAGGAAAGCAAGACAACTCACAGACCAGCGGCATCTGAGCCCTTCCCTCCGTGGAGTGAGGCCCGTGGGCTGAGGTAGAGCAGAGGAGGATTGTGGAGCACGGCCCTGACTTGTAACGTTCATGGGCGGGGTAGCCAGAGTGTATATGGCCAGAGCAGAGTGAGCATGGGCGAAAGTAGAGAGGTGGAGGTTGGAGGGGCATCTCCAGGTCATGTGGGGCCTCGGGAGGACCGTGTCCTTTCCCCTGAGTGAGAAGGAGCCACCGGAGGGCTCTGAGCAGGGGAAGGCTCTGATCAGATGGATATTTTTTAAAGATCCCTCCAAAAACAAAAAAAAAGGAAAAATAACATATTTGCTTATTTTTGCGAAAAGAAACGTAGAAAAGGAAGTCAAAAAACTAAGGAAGGCCAGGTGCAATGGCTCACGCCTGTAATCCAGCACTTTGGGAGGCTGAGGTGGGTGGATCATCTGTGGTCAGGAGTTCGAGACCAGCCTGCCCAACATGGTAAAACCCCCTCTCTACTAAAAATACAAAAATTTGCTGGGTGTAGTGGCGTCCACCTGTAATCCCAGCTACTTGGGAGGCTGAGGCAGGATTGAATCGCTTCAACCCAGGAGGCAGAGGTTGCAGTGAGCTGAGATCGCACTATTGCACTCCAGCTTGGTTGATAAGATTGAAACTCCGTCTATTAAAAAAAAAAAAAGAAAAGAAACTAAGGAAGGCCACGTGCGATGGCTTATACCAGTGAGGCAAGTAGATCATGTGAGGTGAGGAGATCAAGACCAGCCTGGCCAACATGGTAAAACCCCGTCTCTACTAAAAATACAAAAATTAGTTGGGCGTGTTGGCATGTGCCTGTAATCCCAGCTCTTCGGGAGGCTGAGGCAGGAGAATCGCTTGAACCCGGGAGCAGAGGTTGCAGTGAGCCAAGATCATACCACTGCACTCCAGTCTGGGCACTTTTAGTAGAGATGGAGTTTCACCATGTTGGCCAGGCTGGTCTTGAACTCCTGACCTCAAGTGATCCACCCACTTTGGCCTCCCAAAGTGCTGGGATTACAGGCGTGAGCCGCTGCATCCAGCCAAGTAAAAGCTAACTTTTTTTTTTTTGAAACAGAGCCTGGCCCTGTCACCCAGGCTGGAGTGCAGTGGCATAATCTCAGCTCACTGCAACCTCCTCCTCCCAGTTTCAAACAGTTCTCCTGCTGGGGTTTCACCATGTTGGACAGGCTGGTCTTGAAGTCATGAACTCAAGTGATCTGCCCGCCTTGGCCTCCCAAAGTGCTGGGATTACAGGCATGAGCCACAACGCCTGGCCAAGTGGAGGCTAACTTTTATTGGACATTTTATGTCATGCATTGTACTAAGTGCCTTATATCAGGTAGATGTTTTACATATTTAACAGTGAAAGGAAATTAAAGGATGTGAACATGCCTTAGAATTGAATATAAAGAGAATTATATGAACCTGTATCAAAATGATAATAGTCACACAAAATTATTTCAGGTAACTGAACACTATTCTGGCCATACATTCTTACAGGCAGATTTTTTTTTTCTTTCCCTTCTCCTTTTAGAGATGGGGGTCTTACTTTGTTGCCCAGGCTAATCTCAAACTCCTGGGCTCAAGTGATCCTCCCACCTCAGCCTCCCAAAGTGCTGGGATTACTGGTGTGAGCCACCGCACCCGGCCGTGGCCATATTTTCTAAGGGCAAAAAAAGTGTATTGTGGCCCGGCATGGTGGCTCACACCTGTAATCCTAGCACTTTGGGAGGCTGAGGTGGGCAGATCACCTGAGGTCAGGAGTTCAAGACCAGCCTGACCAACATGGAGAAACCCGGTCTCTACTAAAAATACAAAATTAGCCAGGTGTGGTGGCACATGCCTGTAATCCTAGCTACTCGGGAGGCTGAGGCAGGAGAACTGCTTGAACCCAGGAGGCGGAGGTTGCAGTGAATTGAGATCGCGCCATTGCCCTCCAGCCTGGGCAACAAGAGAGAAACCGTCTCAAAAAAAAAAAAAAAAAAAAATATATATATATATATATATATATATAGTTTGTGGTAATGGTCATGTCATAATTTTGCAACCATTTCATATAGGTTGTGGGAAAAGTTAATAAATACGCTGCTTTTGTTAGGAACCAAGATTTGCCCAGGGAGAGAAAAGAGAGGAATAGAAAATAAAAGAAATTAAGGCAGAAGCCCCACGTGAGGCTGAGAGAGCTCAAAGGCTCCCTCTGGCGGCCGTTCAGAGAATGACCTGTGGAAGGGCAGGGGCAGCAGCAAGGAGACCAGCTGCTGCTGTCCAGGAGATGCCAGTGGGCAAGGGGGGCTGCCCTGGCTTCCTGAGCTATGACTCTGTTGCCTCCCAGTCCCCTGAAACTGTGGGATCAGGGTGACCGAAGCCTCTCACTGCCCCTGTCACCTGCAGACAGCCAGCTAAAGGTGTGGATGAGCAAATACGGCTGGAGTGCTGACGAGTCGGGGCAGATCTTCATCTGTAGCCAAGAAGAGAGCATTAAACCCAAAAACATTGTGGAGAAGATTGACTTTGACAGTGAGTGGTGGCCCACGGCCTCAGGCCTTGGGGCTAAGGGGGTGCCTCTCAAGGGAGGCCGAGGCAGGGGCCCAGAGGACCTGGGTACATCTGCTCATGTTCTGGGCTGGGAAGTCTGCACCTGCCAGATTCCATTCACCTTGTGTCTCGGGGCTCCTGCCCAGGGAGCAATAGTGGGGAGTTGGGTGATCTTCCCTGAAACTTCTAGGCCCTGTGTCCTGCCTCATAGCACTCAGCAAGACTTCCTGGGGCCCAGCGGGGCCTCGCAGGGGGTCTCTGCACCCTTACTCATCCCTGAGGCCGGTCTGGTTGGCCCTCTTTTATCCTTGGGGTACCCAGGCCTCATGTGCAGACTTGGAGTCCGGTGAACAGTAGGAATCTTGATTCTCTACTTTGGGTGATTTCACATCTTTGTGCCTCAGTTTTCTCATCTAAAAAATGAGGACGGCTGGCCGGGCGCGGTGGCTCAAGCCTGTAATCCCAGCACTTTGGGAGGCCGAGACGGGCGGATCACGAGGTCAGGAGATCGAGACCATCCTGGCTAACACGGTGAAACCCCGTCTCTACTAAAAAAATACAAAAAAACTAGCCAGGCAAGGTGGCGGGCGCCTGTAGTCCCAGCTGCTCAGGAGGCTGAGATGGGAGAATGGCGTAAACCCGGGAGGCGGAGCTTGCAGTGAGCCGAGATCCGGCCACTGCACTCCAGCCTGGGCGACAGAGCGAGACTCCATCTCAAAAAAAAAAAAAAAAATGGGGACGACTGCAACAGTAACTATGATAAACACTGTGTAGGTCCTTACATTTACGTTGTTTGATCCTCAGTTACTAAATTACATAAATAGTATTATACCTACCTCATGGAATCATAAGTGTGAATGCTTGTATAACACTTAGCAAAGAACCAGTCACACCGTTCGTTAAATATTCATTATGACCATCGTCTACACACATGTAACTAGCAGAGGCTTAACTGCTTGCTCAACTAAAAAGAGTGCAGTGGCTACTCCGGCAGCGGGGGCTGCTTCACTGTCGCTCATCGTGGCACCGAGCAGATATCCTGGAGCCGGGGAGAAAGGCATGGGCGGGCCGCTCCCTTCATCCCAGGTCTCCCCCACCCTCTTGAGTGTGAATCAGGTGTTTTAAAGATGTGTTTGGTACAACATGGCTTCTTAACACAAACCAGCTAATTTTGTACTTAACTGGGGAACAGCATTGAGCAGGCAGCCATCTGTGCACTTACGGCCCGTGGTATCTCACCTCTAAATGCCACGTGACTGCTGTGTCAGGGTTCTCGGTGAGAACTCCAGCAAAAGATTCTGTAGTGAGGAAAGGGCCTCCTTTTTTCTCCCCTTTGGCTTCTGTCACCCCACCCCACCTTCCTGACCTTTTAGGTCACGGGTGGAGAGGGCATTGCTGAGTCAACAAGGAAGAGGAGGAGGAAGGTGTGAATCTTAGGGATGTAGGAGCCCAGCCCTGCTGGGGGAGTAGACGGGAGGATTCCCTCTGTCTCAGTCCTGGCTCCATTGCTCTGTGTCCTGGGTCCAACAGGATAGGTTCAAAATACTTGGGAGACTGAGGCAGGAGAATCGCTTGAACCCAGAAGGTGGAGGTTGCAATGAGCCAAGATCGCTCCACCGCACTCCACCCTGGGCAACAGAATGAGACTCTTGTCTCAAAAAAAAACCTTGAGTATCCTGCAAATAGTACATAGTAAATATTATTATCATGTAGGTAATTACAAACAACTCTTCCTTGGCACTTTGTTCTCAGCACCTCGTTTGGTCCTACAATCCTATAGGGTAGGTGCTTCTTAAAGATAGGAAGGTGATGCTCAGAGATGTTCAGTAACTTGTCCAAGTGACCCAGCTGTTAATTGGCAGAGCAGGGATTCGAACCTAGCCCTCCTTGCTCCAGAGTCCATGTTTTTAAAATACTGCACCAAGCTGCTTTTGTGATGGTAACCGGGGCCTGGAAGGAGTTTGTGATCTCCCCCTAAAGAACTGTGGGTGCTGTAGCAGGTAGCTGGAGATTTGTCTCCTGCCCTTCTCACCTTCACTCTGGTCTCTCCTTCCCTGCAGGTGTGTCCAGCATCATGGCCTCCTCCCAGTAACTGCAGGTGTTTAATAAAGATGTGTTGACTCAGCCCTACTGTCTCCTCCCTGGCTTCCTGCTCTGCCCCTTGCCCACCAGAGGGAGCCCAGGAGCAGGCCTCTGCTCTGAGTGGGCCCCCCTCTACCACCACAACACCCCACCACACCACACCCCCATGGTGGGGTTTCCGCCTCCTTTTTCCCCCAGCTTTCCTCCCTTGCCCCACCCTACCTTCCTGACCTTTTAGGTCTTGGGCGGGGAGGGCAGCATTGCCTTTTAGGTCTTTAGGTCTTGGGCGGGGAGGGCAGCATTGACTCAGCAAGGAGGAGGGAGTATGAATGGTATGTAGCAGCCCAGCCCTGTGGTGGAGGCTGAGCACCTCTGGGAGGAGTGTAGGTGAAGGTTCCCTCTGTCTTGATGGTGGCTCTGTTGCTTTGTGACCTTGGTCAAGGCACTGCGCCTCTCTCTCTCTCTTTTTTTTTTTTTTCTTGAGACGGAGTCTCGCTTTGTCGCCCAGGCTGGAGTGCAGTGGCACGATCTCGGCTCACTGCAAGCTCTGCCTCCCGGGTTCATGCCATTCTCCTGCCTCAGCCTCCTGAGTAGCTGGGACTACAGGCGCCCACCACCACGCCCGGCTAATTTTTTGTATTTTTTAGTAGAGACGGGGTTTCACTGGGTTAGCCAGGATGATCTCGATCTCCTGACCTTGTGATCCACCCATCTCGGCCTCCCAAAGTCCTGGGATTACAGGCTTGAGCCACCGCGCCCGGCTCTCTCTTTTTTTTTGAGACGGAGTCTTGCTCTGTCGCCCAGACTGGAGTGCCATGGCGCAATCTCAGCTCACTGCAAGCTCTGCCTTCCGGGTTCCCGCCATTCTCCTGCCTCAGCCTCCCGAGTAGCTGGGACTACAGGCACCCGCCACCATGCTTGGCCAATTTTTTATATTTTTAGTAGAAATGGGGTTTCATCGTGTTAGCCAGGGTGGTCTTGATCTGAGCTCGTGATCCGCCCACCTGGGCCTCCCAAAGTGCTGGGATTACGGGTGTGAGCCACCGTGCCCGGCCGGGACTGCGCCTTCTAATTCTCAGTTTCTTCTTCTGCAGAAGGGGAAGAATAATGCACCCTTCTGAAACCTGTGAGGGTTCCTCCAGCCCTTGCCAGTAAAGGCCTGAGATCGGGGCCTGTCGTTGCTCTTAGAAAATGTGAGCCACAGGCCGGGTGCAGTGGTTCATGCCTGTAATCCCAACACTTCGGGAGGCCAAAGCAGGAGGATTGCTTGAGCCCTGGAGTTTGAGACCACCCTGGGGAACAAAGAGACTCTGTCTCTAAAAAAAAATTTTTTTTTTTTTTTTTTTTTGAGATGGAGGCTCACTCTGTTGCCCAGGCTGGAGTACAGTGGCACGATCTCAGTTCACTGTAGTCTCGTCTCACCGCAACGTCCGTCTCCCAGGTTCAAGCAATTCTGCCTCAGCCTCCCAAGTAACTAGGACTACAGGCACACAACGCCATGCCCAACTAATTTTTTCGTGTTCTAGTAGAGATGGGGCTTCATCATGTTACCCAGGCTGGTCTCGAACTCCTGGGCTCAGGCAATCCGCCTGCTTCGGCCTCCCAAAGTACTAGGAATACACACATGAGCCACCGTGCCTGACCAAAAAGTTTATTTTAAATAGCTGGGCATGGTGGCGCATGCCTATAGTCCCAGCTATTTAGGAGGCTGAGGTCGGCAAATCCCCTGAGCCCAGGAGGTCAAGGCTGCATTGAGCTGTGATCACACCACTGCACTCCAGCCTGGGTGACAGACCCTGTCTCAAAAAGGAAAATATAAGCCATTGTTAATTCCAGGCTCAGAAGTGTTTGTCACCAAGGTTGCAAGCTAGTCCTCAGTACTATTCCGTAAGGATAGACTTCATGAGAAAATTAGTGTATATATTTTTTCCTCTCAAGGTGTCATAGGTAGACAGCTCCTTCAGCCACACCATTCTTCCCAAGTCCCAGCCCACTCCCCTGGTTAGTGTTACCTGAAGGAGACCTGACTCACCTCGCATGTTCATTCCCATCTCCTGAGGAATTTGGGGCACTCGCAGTGGCCCTTAGGCAGTGCTTTTCCCCTCTGAGCATATTGCCTGGAGGGGCGGGGGGTTGGGGGAATGCAGGAATTAAAAAGACCATGTAGAGGCTGGTTTATGCCTGTAATTCCAGCACTTTGAGAGGCTAAGGGAGGAGGATGGCTGGAAATCCCCTCTATGCAAAAGTAAAAATTAGCTCAGGTTGGGCAAGGCAGTCCATCCATATAATTACAACAGTGGGAGGAGTGCAGCAGGAGGATTGCTGAAAGCCAGGAGTTCGAGACCAGGGCAACAAAGCGAGACCCTGTTCCTAGAAAAGTTTTAAAATTAACGGGCTGGTCAGGCACCGTGGCTCACGCCTGTAATCCCAACACTTTGGGAGGCCAAGGCAGATGGATGGCTTGACCTCAGGAGTTCCAGGCGAACCTGGACAACATGGTGAAACCCCATGTAAACTACAAAAAAATTAGTCGGCCATGGTGGCACACACCTGTAATCCCAGCTACTCTAGAGGCTAAGGTGGGAGGATCACTTGAGCCTGGGAGTTAGAGGTTGCAGTGAGCCAAGATGGCATCACTGCACTTCAGCCTGGGTAACAGAGTGAGACCCTGTCTTAAAAATAAGTAGCTGGGCACGGTGGCTCGTGCCTGTAATCCCAGCACTTTGGGAGGCCGAGGCAGGCAGATCACCTGAGGTCAGGAGTTTGAGACTAGCCTGGCTAACATAGTGAAACTCCGTTTCTACTAAAAATACAAAAAACTAGCCAGACGTGGAGGCGCACACCTATAATCGCAGTTACTGGGGAGGCTGAGGCGGGAGAATCACTTGAACCCAGGAGCCGGAGGGTGCAGTGAGCCGAGATCACGCCATTGCACTCCAGCTTGGGCAACAAGAGCAGAACTCCATCTCAAAAAAAGCAAAAAAATAAATAAGTAAAAATTAGCCAGGCACAGTGGTATGTGCCTGTAGTCCCAGCTACCCAGGAGTTTGAGGCTGTAATGAGCTATGATTGCACCACCGCACACCAGCCCAGGTGAGAGCAAGACCCCGTCTCCAAAAAAGGAAAAGAAATGCCCCAATAGATGTTCACTGCTTAGAGTAGACTGGCAGCTGCCCCTTGGTGATTCATCCTGGATGCTGGTGTGCAGAAGCATTGCTGTGGAGAGGGCAGCTGTGGTACCCAAGCTGCCAGCTGGCCCGACCTCCCTGTCTGCACTCACACCCAGCATTCCTCAGAAGGCCCTGCCTTGGGGAGCCAGTGGGAGCAGACACCCCTTGCCCTGGAGCCCAGACCTCAACAGGTCCCAGTAGCCAGGAAGTGCCCAAATCCTGGGGACTGAACAAAAGGTTGCTTCTGCAGTTCACTGGGATAAAAAGAAGGACTGGGAGGCCTGGCTCAGTGGCTCATGCCTATAATCCCAGCACTTTGGGAGGCCAAGACAGGCAGATCACCTGGGGTCAGGAGTTTGAGACCAGCCTTACCAACATGGTGAAACCCCGACTCTACTGAAAATACAAAATTAACCGGGTGTGGTGGCACATGCCTGTAGTCCCAGCTACTTGTGGGAGTGAGGCAGGAGAATCGCCTGAACCCGGGAGGCAGAGGTTGCAGTGAGCCAAGATCATGCCACTGCACTCCAGCCTGGGCAACAGTGAGACTCCATCTCAAAAATAAGAATAATAAATTAAATAAATAAATAAATAAAAAATAGCCGGGCGCAGTGGCTCATGCGTGTCATCTCAGCACTTTGGGAGGCCGAAGTAGACGGATCACCTGAGGTCAGAAGTTCGAGACCAGCCTGACCAACATGGAGAAACCCCCGTCTCTACTAAAAATACAAAATTAGCCAGGCATGGTGGCGCATGCCTGTAATCCCAGCTACTCGGGAGGCTGAGGCAGGAGAATCACTTGAGCCTAGGGGGTGGAGGTTGCGGTGAGCGGAGATCACACCATTACACTCCAGCCAGTGCAACAACAGCGAAACTGTCTTAAAAAACAACAACAACAAAAAATAGTCAGGCGTGGTGGCATGTGCCTGTAATTCCAGCTACTCAGGAGACTTGAGGTGGGAGAATCGCTTGAACCCTGAAAGCGGAGGTTGCAGTGACCCAAGATTGTGCCACTGCACTCCAGCCTGGGTGACAGAACAAGACTCTATCTCTAAATAAATAAATAAATAAATAGAAAATAAACTCAAATTGATTCTGTCTCCAAATTCCATCCTGGTGGGTGCCTATCATGCTCATTTGGGGTTCAGTGCTGCTGCTCCAGCTGCTTCCTGAGACATCTCTAGACACTGCAGTATTTGTTCATGTCCCCACCCTGTGAGGACACACCCTCTCTAATCGCCTTCCCCCAAGTAGTGTTAACAATGGGATACAGCATTTAATACATTCTGACTGAGGTCTCACGGTTCCAAGGAGTGACGGTGCAGAAATGGTAAACCTAAAAACGCCTGTAGGGTCCACTGGCATGCCCTTCTCTCAGAGCCCCTCCTGGTCCCTTGAACATCAATAGACACATCAGCTATTATTACTACACTGCCCACAGATAGCTGCCAGGAAGTAGCCTCAAGGCTGACAATTAAAGGGAAGCTTTAATTTAAACTTCAATGGCTGGGGCTGTCGCCTCCATCTGGGAGCACTTGGTCTGGACAGTTTCTCAGAGTCCACCAGGAGCTGCCGAGAGGGACCGATGGTCCATCCCCTGAAGACTTCTTCCCCCCAGGCCAGACCAAGCATAAGGGTCTTGAGGGGGCTGCCCTGCCCGGCCCCACCCACTCCAGCCCAGCTCTGGAAACAGCCAACACGCCTGGGAGTCTTTGGTCAGGTCCTGCCATCTCCTACGAAATCGGGCTGCTGCCTGAGCTTTGCCCTCTTCCTCTGCTGTCACTGGATCGTTTCGTGTGCCTTTGGTAGAGGCAGAGAAGCAGAGAAGGATCCTTGCAGCTCCTATAGCTGGAGAAACCATAAACCATGGTGGC